ATATTTCATGCAAGTTCCCTCACGCTCCCTCGTTGCGTGTGTGTGTTGCGGCATCCTTGCCGCCCCTGAAGTATACTGTCCCTTTGCTCCGCCTCTATTATCCCCTCTCTCTCTCTCTCTCTCCCTGCCGCGTGGACGCACGCTCTCTGTCTCTCTGTGGCTGTGTGCGTTAAAGGAGAGAGAATAAAAGGGAGGAGCGGGCGCCCATGCCGCTTTCCGAGCGTGTCCTGCACTGCCAGGAGCCTGCGGCGTCGCATGAGAGCCTCTGCCTCGAATGGGCCTTTGGCCTGCACAAAGACTTTAGGTCCGTTATTCACAACCTCAGCTCCTCCGCCACGGAGCGGGTGGTGTTCTACACCATTGGACATATTGGCATCATCTACGATGCGGTGCGGAACACCCAGCGTCACCTGATGGGTCACCGCCACACCATCGTGGCCTCCGCGTGCAGCCGCAGCCGCCGCTTCATCGTGACGGCGGACAACGGCTCGAGCGAGGCGACTAAGTCCGCCTGGGGCGAGGCGAGCGGGTCGCCCGGCACCCTGCCGCCGCGGCCGGGGAGCACCGCCGGTGCGGAGCGGCATGACCCGCGGGGCGCGCATAGCGTTGGGTACGACAGCTCTCTGATGATCATCTGGGACACGCAGACGTGCATTCCGGTGCGCACGATCCCGACAGGCCTCTACGGCGGGGTCACGGCGTGTGCCATGAGTCTGGACGGCATGTATGTCGCGACCCTGAATCGCCGCATCCCGCAGGAGATTATGCTCTGGGGGTGGACCTCGGAGACGGAGATTGACGACGGCCGCGGCGTCACCGAGAGCGTCATGGACGAACTCGCGTTGGCCAACAACATCGTGCCGGAGTACCGCCGCTTGATCCCGGCCCAGGACGAGCAAACCTCCATTCGCTTCTCAGAGGATGATCCCCACCTCTTGGTGACGAATGGGCTGCGTCGCGTGCTCTTCTGGTCCTGGGCGGAGCACGAGCTGAAGTACTACTCCCCGCCTATTCTAGCAAAGAACCTGAAGGTGTCGGTTGGGAACTTTACACAAACGATATTTGTGCCTGGCACCAGCATGGCCTGCAGCGGAACGGTCGACGGGGATGTGATTCTGTGGGAGGTGCAGCCGCGTGACCGGGTCACGAAGGAGCAGGACAAGACGATGCTGAAGATGGTGCGGATCCACTCCGCCGGGGTCTCGTTTCTGGCGTGGTCGAGCGGCTACATTGTCTCCGGCGGCATGGAAGGGCACGTCAAGTTTCTCGACCCGAAGCTGCGCCTGGTGGCGTGGTTTGAGGACCTCAACGGCGGGGCGGTGACGTCGATCAGCTTCGACCGCCCCGCCATCGTCGCCCCGCTGGCGATGGACGAGCTGCGCAGAGAGTTCAAGGCAACCACACAGAAAAAGGCGGCAATTGGTAGAACCATCGCCGTGGAGGAATTCTCGGCGCCCGACTTTATGATCTCCACAGCCCATGCCATGATTGTTGATGTGGCGAGTAAGGCCTTCCATGCCGGAAATCCCGAGCTGCTGCGTGGCAAGCTTATCGTGCAGGGGCAGGAAAAGGGTATTCACTGCATTGCGGCTCACCCAAAGCTCGCACACATTGCCGTGGCAGGGCATAGCGGCCACGTACATGTGTGGGACTACGTCTCGAGACGGGTGCTGGTTCTCAGTATCTTTCAAGGCGTACAAGTTAGTTGCATGGCGTACGACCCAGAGGGGGACTACCTCGCCATTGGCTGCAGCCACGGCGTTGTGAAGTTTCTTGACGCCAACACGCTGGAGGAGCGGAAGACGATTAAGCCCAAGCGGCCTGACTGTGTCACACGCATGCTCTTCTCAGACGCCGGCAATCGACTCGCCACGGGGGACGTCGCCGGGTGTGTAAGCCTGTACGAATTCAATCACCCGCAGGGCAACACGGCGAAGCCGATGGAGTGGGACATCGTGGGCAGGCACAAGACGCACCGGGGAGCCATTTCTGGGCTCCAGTTCGGCGACGACGGCGGCCTCCCACGCCTCCTCTCCGTGGGGGAGGACAAACGACTTGTAGAGTACGACCTGATTGACTCCGAGCCGGAGTCGGGCTTGCTTGTGCGGACGGCGCACAAAATTACGCAGGGCGCCTCCCCCACCGGGTTTCTTTGGGTGCGAGAGGACGGTGTTGTGAACGACATGAAACGCCGCCCGCAGGGCGCGGAAGCCGTCATCGATGATCTCCTCCTTGTGTCGACAAATGACTACAAAATCACGGTGTTTTTAAGCGATTGGAGCCGTCAATGCATCAAATCCGTGCTCTCACCAACGTTTGGGGGTCCTGTGGCGGAGATGTTTACGGTGCCCTCGCTTCCAGGGAGTGGACGCACGTGCCTCTTCTACGCCACCCGCGAGAAGGTGATTGGCCTGGTACAGCTGCCTCTGCTCGGCGATCCATGCATGTCGACGGGCCTCGTGGCGCACCCGGGCACGATTACCAGCGTGGCACGGTCGTACGACGGCGCCTTCGTCTTCACCGCCGGCGGCGATGACCAGTCGGTGATGCAGTGGCGCGTGAACGGGGAGAAGATTGTGGCCGCCTCCAACGCGGCACCGGCGGAGGCGGCCCCCACGGAGGCGGCTGACGAGGTCCCGCTGGATCACCTCATCGCCGCCGTCGAGGGGGGGCGTGAGGGGCAGTTCATGCGCGAGATTGTGGACTACTTCTACTACGCCCAGATCCGACTTCAGGGGGAGGAGACGACGGCGAAGCGTGAGTTGCTGGGGGCGGTTCCCTTCTCGCAGCTCCCGAACCTCTTCCGCGCCCTCGGCTACTACCCCTCCGAGCTTGAGATTGGCCGCCTGACGTACGAGGTGGCAAACATTTACGGCCCGGAGGATGAGCCGGTGGAGGAGTGTGACGTGGGGAGCATCCCGCTCAAGTTCTCGCAGTTTATGCGCCTGTACGTGAACTACCGCCCCATTTACGGTGTCTCACGCCAAGACATTGAGGCCGCCTTCCTGGCGCTCGGGGCGGACGCGGAGACCGGGCAAATCGCAAGGGATGTCCTCTTTAAGCTGCTGGGCACTCATGGTGAGCCGCTGCAGCCGGAGGAGATTTCAGCGGCTCTGCGCTCGCTGCTGGGCGAAGGAGTGCGGCTCGACATGCTCGAGGACACCATCACTGCCCGCGCCTTTGCGGAGAATCTGCTGGGATTTGAGGACTACGACGCCTTGGGCACGGACGGTAAAGTGCCGGAGGAGATGCCGGACAATACCGAAGAGGAAACGCTGATGGGTGACTAGCCCCCCCCCCCCCTCCCCTCCCCTTTCTCTTCCCTCCTAGGGGCGGTCCTGTTTTTGTTTCCTTGTTTCTCTGCCTGCTCCATCGTTGTGTGAGACGGCGCCGCCGACGCCTCCTCACTCTCTGCCCGGCCCCCGTCTGTTTATTTCGGCAGAGGAAGGGAAAGCGGCGGGCCCACGCGCACACCGCGAGCGTATAGCTCTCTCTACCTGGACGCCTGTGATTGTGTCTCCTCGGTGGGCGGCGGCGAGTGCAGCGGAGCGGTGGTGGGCGCGGCTCAATAGCGGCGAAACAACAATACCGTGGCGAGAAAAAAAAGAAGGGAGAGAGAGAGAGAGAGCGAGAGGGGCAAGAGCGCAAACAAACAACTTCAATGTAAATGACACCTGAACTATTAGACGCGTGTGTGTGTGTCTCTCGCGGAGAGAAGAAGACTGTTTGCGGTTATGATGTTGAATACAATACATCCGTGTTTTATGGCTTGTGGGATGTGGTGATGGGCGGCGGCAATGCGCCACCGCAGGCTTCGCCTCCTGCACGCCGTTGAATGCATCTTTTCCCCCTCGGTTATCACACACACTCTCTTTTTCTTTTCTTTCTTTCTTGCCGTTTCCTCGTTAGTGCGTCCCGCCCCCCCCCCCCACGCCACACCAACGGGAAGCCACCTTCAGCGGCTACATTACTGTCTCCCTGTGCTGTGGCACAACTGAGGCGTCGCAGTTGACGCTCCTGGCAGAAAGAGGGGGAGTGGGTGGAGATTCATTCTTCACCATCAAGTTGCTATTGTTGTACTTGCTGTTGCCGTTGCACTGTGTTGTGTTGCGTTGCTTTTATTCGTAGTCGCTTCGACTTTGTGTGTGTGTGTGTGTCACAAATGTTTTTCCCTTCACCGTCGCCGTCCTTGCTGACGCCCTCTGTGGCTCCCTTCGCCGGTGTGCGGGTGTTTCTGCACATCCGCGAGGGCACCAGCGGCGCCGGTGAGGATCGCACGAAGCACTACGCGAAGAAAGCCCTGCGCAGGCTCGGCGCCGCCCTGACGCTCTCGGAGGCCACGGCGGACTTGATTGTGTTTCACTGCGGGAACGAGTCGTTCCTCGAGAACGCGACGGCGCGTGGCAAGACTGTTGTCACCCCGGCGTATCTACAGGAGTGCGCCAAGTGCATGGAGCGGCTGTCGGCGGAGGCGTTCCTCGTGCACGGACGCCTGGGCCACGCGGAGGGGAGGGGGGACGCGGCCGTCGCGGGGAGCGGCGAGGCGGCGGCGGCGGCGGAAGAAGAGGAGGGGGAGCCCCCGCGGGCCGAGCTGCCGCCCAAGACGACGTCCACCGGGCTGTCCACCGTTCCCTACCTGGACGACGACGACGACGACGCGCGGGGGCGCCGCACCACCGCACGACGGGCAGTCGCGCCCGCTGCCAAGGGGCGTGATCCCAGTGATGAGGGCGCCGTGGCCTCAGCGTCGTCGGCAACGGCAAAACGGAGCCGAGGGAGTTCCACGGACGGCGCGCCGCCGGTGGGGCGGCGTAAACGCGCCTGCTGCGCCCTCGGTGGCACTAGCGACGAGCACTCGACTGGGGCGCCGCGTAAAGGGACGCACATGGCGCCGAATCGAAAGGTCGCGCCCGCAGCAAATGGGGGGGCGACAGAGCCTACTGCGTCCCCCACGGACAGCCGTCGCGGTGTGTCACATCTCCGTCGCCCCACAACCCCTCCGCAGCTTCGCATTGCCGTAGCCGGGGAGGACGAGGGGGACATTCAGTTTCTCTGCGACGTTGTTGAGCAGCTGGGGGGTGTCTGTTTGTCACGTGTGTTTGGTCGCGTGCGGAAGCCGACGCATCTGGTTTTGGGGGGGCGTGGGGAGCTGACCCCGATGGTGCTGCTTGCCAAGGCGCTGGGCATCCCTGTGCTGACGCCGCAGTGGCTCTACGACGCCATTTCCTTGGGCGAGTTCCCGGAGGTTCTCCCCGCCCATCTGCATCCCATATACTCGGCTAGCGTCCGCCCCACTGACAGCCGCGGTGGTGGAAAGAAGGAGCAAGAGGAGGATAAATATGGTGGCACGCCAACGCACCTGCCGCGGCGGGAGCCGAGCATTGAGGACAGCCTCGTCGGCATGTTTGAGCAGGACGTTGGCCCCAACTACAAGCCCATCTTTCTGGGAATGGTCTTTGCCTTCGTCAGCCACTCCCCGCTTGTTCACGCCGACCAGTTCATGGAGCTGGTGCGCACGTTGGGCGGCTTCGTCACACGCAGTGCGTTGAGCCTCAACCTCTCCGTCCTCGTGGATCTTGGCTACGGCACCGCCGCCCCGCAGGAGGGGGAGGAGAAGAATAAATGTGAGAAGGAGAAACCTGGCGAGGTGGCGAGAGCGGCGGGAGCCAGCAGGCGAAGGCCGCGGCGAGGAGCCGTGCGGCGCGTGGAGGAGGCGGGGGCTGCCTTAGAGACGCAGTCGATCCCCTTGACGTATCAAACCGCGCTAAGCGGCTGCGCCGGCCGCGGGGGTGTGACGCGGCACGCCTCCCACGACGTACTGCAGCGACTCATGGCGCAGCGCCGCCAGCACGAGCTCCCCGCTGTCCCTGTGGTGTCGGTTGAGTGGGTCATTCAGTGTATTCTTCTTGGCGAGGCGACCGAGACGGCGCCCTTTGAGGTTCCGCTGGGCCCGCAGGAAGGCAGCGGGGTGGCCGCGGTGGACCACGCGAAGGCGACGGAGGACGCCGCCAGCGGCAACGGCCTCAAGGCAGCCGCCTCCACACCGCCGAGGCAAACGGCGAGGTGCTTTGGGGAGGACAGCGGCCGCGGCAGGGTCTCGTGGCAGACGCCTGTCGTCACCAGCCCCTTCGCAAAGACCTCCGAGGGCCCGAGCAGTGCGATGAAGCGGGCGGAGCAGCAGCTCAATACGCAACAGCTGCTTCTTTCCCTCGACAGTGACGACGACTGAGGCCTTTCCCTTTTGTTGTTGTTGTTGCTGCTGTTGCCATTCTCTTTTTCTGCGTGCGTGGGTGTGTGTGTCTCTCTTCTCCCACCTCACTGAAAAACACGCGCAGCAATGACGAGGAAGGGTGAGTGTTTTTTTCTTGTTGCTGTTTACTTGCTCTATGCACCCTTCCTTTTCTTCTTCCTCTTTCTTCTTGTCTTTGCTTGCCCTCCGCTCCTTCGGGGGAGGGTTTTAGGTTGCTTGGGCGCGTGAGTGTGAGAGTGGCCTGCACGGGCCCCCTTTTTGGCCACCGCTTCCTTTCGTGTGCAGCAAGCGCGTCGCGGGGGGTAAACATACAAACCATAGCCCTCTCCAACTGTACATAGGTGGGCACACGTACCCGCACTTGCTTACCTATACAACTATACATTATATATATATATACATATATACGCATTGGCGCAGTGGCGAAGGCGGCGGCGGCTACACGGGACGCGTCCACAGAGTGAGCGGCGTCGTGTTCATTCGTGGACGTCTCCTTGCCCGTTGCTCTCCTTTCTATTCCTTCCTGCCTGACTGCTTGCTGGCCTGTCCGTCGGGGGGGGTGCGTGGGGTGCCGCGGCGCGTTGGCCCGCCTCGCCGGCAGCTCAAGCAGGGTGTTGGTGTCCTCGTCGTCCGCTTCACTCTCTTGAAGGCGGGAAGACGGCGGGCACCTCAACCTCCCCCTCCCTCCCCCCCCTCCCTGTTTTTTTTTGTTTTGTGTTTAGCTCGTGTTTCTCCTGTGCCTAGCGGAGATGCAGGAGGCGGCCAGTAGCACCGGCGAGCAATGCTCAACGAAGCAAAGCTTGGCGCGTAGAGTGCGGCAGCTGAAGATCGCGGATGGGCGGTTTGTGCTGCTCCACCGCATCGGCGGCGGCGCCTTCGGGGAGCTGTTCCAGGGCCTCGACACCCGCACCAACCTCCAGGTGGCGATAAAGTTTGAGAGGCGCAAGGCCGTCTACCCGCAGCTGTCGTACGAGAGTAAGGTGTACCGGGTGCTGCACCACGGAACCAGCGACCCGGTGGGGATCCCGCGGGTTTACTACTATAGTCTGGAGAGCGACTACGGCGTCCTCGTGATGGACCTCTGTGGCCCTTCACTGGAGGATCTCTTCAACTACTGCGGCCGGCGCTTCTCGGTGAAGACGGTGTGCATGTTGGCGGATCAGATACTGCAGCGGATCCAGTTTCTGCACGAAAAAGGCTTTGTGCACCGGGACATTAAACCTGAGAACTTTGTGTTTGGCAACGGAACGAAGGGGCACGTGCTGTACCTCATTGACTTTGGCCTCAGCAAGGTGTACTGGAATACGCGGAAGCAGACGCACATCCCCTTCTGCGAGGGGAAGCCGCTGACTGGCACCGCGCGATACTGTAGCACCTGGACCCACCGCGGCTATGAGCAGAGCCGCCGCGACGACCTGGAGGCGGTCTGCTTCATTCTTGTCTACTTCCTCGTGGGGTCGCTCCCCTGGCAGGGGCTGCCGACGCGGGACCCGCACCTGAAAACCATCCGCATCGGGGAAAAGAAGATGAACACGTCGTCGGAGGAGCTCTGCGCGGGCCTGCCGCCGGAGCTCCTGCAGTACTGCAACTACTGCCGCGGGTTGCGGTTCACCGACACCCCCGACTACGCGCATCTGCGGGAGCTCTTCGCGACGCTGGCGCGGCGGCAGTGCGGGGTGGCCTCAAACCCGACGCCCGACGCAGACGGTGTCTGGTGGGAGAGCGTCGTCGCCGTCACGGGCGCGAAGCCGTCGCCGTACGACTGGATGTTTGACTGGTTTTTGAAGCGCGAGGCGGAGCTGGCAGAGTGGCGCAAGCGGCAGCACGCGCGGTGCCCCGGCGGCACGCCCCCCTCCGGCCCCGTGATGCGTCGGCGGGACCACTCCCCTGCCGCGGGCGAGAACGGCGCCCATGTCTTGTTTTGTGCGGCACCGCAGGACTAATGCCACGCGCCACAGGCGACGCGGCGCAGCGGGGCGGGAGTAATCTGGCGGAAATGACTTGCAAAAAAGTGCACCAACCCCATTCGTTGTGATCTGCTTCCTTGAAGAGGGGAAAACAAAAAATGCTTGGGCAGGCAGAGAGATGGGAAGAAAAAAGAAATGCAAAACGCGTCATGTGGTGGAAGAGCAAATTTGTTGTGGGATGTCAAGTTTATGCCAAGTGCGCTTCCTGTGCCAGGCGAGTTTCCTCTGTGTCTTTGTATGTTTCTGTGTCTGTGTGTCTGTGATTTTTTTTTGGACTCTGTATTCTCACAGAATTAATTGAAGTCCGCGTGCGTGCGGCACGTGGGTTCTAGTCGGAGGTGTTGACAGTGCTCGTGGCAGTGGTGAAGTGTGGGTCTGCCTAATATATATATATATATATATATGTGTGTGTGTGTGTGTGTCTGTGTGTATGTGTGTACGTATGTCCCTGCTGTCTGGTCGGCCGCCGCCCGCCCACGCCGTGTTGGAGGCAAAGAAGTTAATTAGTTCAATGATGGCCTTGAGTTTTTGGCCGCATGTATCTGGGATTCGTGTGTTTCGCCCGTCTCCAGTGGGTGGGAGAGAGTGACTGGGGGAGGGGGTGAAGTTGCTTTTCGGCGTGTTGGGCGCGTGTGATGTAAAGTAATAAAAATACACGCGTATTAACCTCCTCCCTCCTCCCCCCCACAGACGACCGAAGGGAAAAGGGAAATAGTCTCAAAAGAAATAGAAAAACGCAGTGGGGGGGGGGAGGAAAAAAAAAACAACTCTGGCTTCGACGTTGCATGTCATTTGTTGTGTGTGGTGGGTTGCACAACGCAGGCTATCGATAGAACGAAGGACGAAAGAAAAAGAAAAAAAAAAACAAGTGTTGGGTTCGAGAGAAAGGGAGGAAGACGTCTTTGTTTTTGGCTCCTTCACATCACCCCGTATTTGGCTGGCCGCCCTAATACTGGTGTGTATCTATATGTTTGTGCTTCTTTGCATGTGTGTGTGTGTGTGTGTATCCCCTGAGAAGTGTGCACTCTACTTTGCCGCGGACTGCTCCTTTTTTCTCTTGTCGCACCCTCCCCCTGCTCATCCATTGATGCATTCACTCCCCACTGCGCCTCACCGACGCACACACACACACACACACAATGTGTGCGTGTGTGTATAGTGCATCTGCAAAAGGTGTGCGCGGCACGCAAGCAAAGCGCAAAAAAAAGGGGGTGTAAGGGCCGTTTAAAAGGGGGTTTGGGGTGGGGGAGAGAGAGGAGGGAAAGTACGTGTGCGACGCGGGGGGTGCACAGCAATGGAGTTCAAGCAGTGGACGGAGAACCGCTACCGGCACCCGGTGGTGCTGGTGTTTGCGAGCCCCACGGCCGAGCAGGCCTGTGGCCGCAACGGCATGGACCTGATCCAGATGCTTCGGCCCTTCTCCGTGCACCCGACGGAGCTCTTCGCCCACTTGGGCGATCGCGCCGACACCGTGCTGGTGCGCAACTTCGGGGTGCGGCTCACCCGACTGCAGTGCGTGCGGGAGGTGGACGCGGTGCATTGTGCGCGCCACCTCCGCCACGTCTTGCGCGACCACGCGGCGATGGAGTTGGCGTACGGGGAGCAGCTGGACCGCGCCATGTCGTGTCTGCTGAAGGAGAACGGCGGGATTGTGGCGGGGCCGCGGCCCGCCGCACAGGTGGCGTCGCAGCTGCTGGAGCGCTCGCACCCGGCGTGGCACTCCCAGTTTATCCGCGACTACGCGTGCCTGGTGCGCTGCAGCCACTTTGACACCCTCGACCACCCGCTGGGCTGCATCTACGCCGCCTCCACGCGCGAGGCAGGCGGCGTAGAGGGGATTATGCGGGAATTTAAGGAACAGCAAAAGCAACCGGCCGAGACGCGGCGGGGCATGCCCTGCATGGACGACGATCTCCACAGCTACTTCCTTCTTCTGCATGATATGACGGAGGGGCCGTCGCTGGAGGAGGCGCGGCGCATGTTCGTGGCGGTGCAGGTGCAGTACGGCCACGCCCATTGTGCTCTGGTGAAGATCAACTCCGTGGCGAACCCGCAGGACGTGAAGAGCATAGACCCCTCGCTCTGGGTCGAGGCGAACGTGCCCGCCGTGGACGTCCCCTCCCGACAGGCGGTCCACGCGGCGCAGCGGCAAGCCACCGACACGCATTTCTCCGGAGGAGGCTCTACGGAGGGCAGCAGGGGCGGTAGCGCTCTGAGCGCCACGGTGGGCTCCTTGAGCCCTGCCGAGGGCAGCAGCAACTCCGCGAGTGGGCATGCGAACACCGCCGCCCCTGCCTCCCTGCAGTTCCCGCGTGTGGCGACCAGGTTTGGCAGCTGGTCGGACGGCATGGCCAAGGTCACCGGCTGCTACTTGAGTCCTGAGAATGTGGAGGAGCTGCGGCAGGTCATGGCGTATTACCTCTCACGAAGCCTCTTCAACTTTGTAGAGCGGAAGCTGCGGGTGTTGGTGCTCGCAATCAACGAAAAACGTGTGACCACGTTTGGCAAGGTGGCCGCCTGGTTCCGCAACAAGGATGAAGCCAAGGTGAAGCGTGAAACCTGGGTCGCGAGCCGCGAGGGCGGCCCCACGATGTATCTTGCCGGGTCGCTGGAGATGCAGATGCGTCGCGCCGCCGATCTTCTGCTGGCCCTTGCCGACTATGACTCGGCGATTAGTTACTATCGCATGTGCCGCAGTGAGGCGCTCGCGACCGTGTCGTCGCGCGAGTTCAACCGACCACTCATCGCGGCCTGTCAAGAAGGCATTGGTGTGTGTGACCTGCTGCTGGGGCGCCTGCCGCTGCCGAGCACGGCGCCGTGGGCGGTGGGCGGCACAACCTCGAAGGGCGGCGTTGACTGCCGCCTGGAGGTCGCGCAGAACGACTACGCGGCCTGTCAGGTGCACACCTACGCCCTCCGGTTGTCGCTCATGCTCTACGAGTACTGTCGCACCCGGTCCCCGCCGGCGGTGGATCGTGCCGCGGCTGCGCTGCTGCACGTGCAACGTGCTGGGACCGGGTCCAAAAACAAGTTGTACTCCGCCGTCTTGCATGAGCTGCTGGCGGCGGTGTTGCTGTTCCGCAACCCGCCACTGCCCGCGGGGATGTCGGTCCCTGCCCTTTTGCCCAACAGTTTCCCGCTGCGGTCGCACGTGCGCCAGTACGCGCGTCACATGATTATCGCGGGCAGTGCGCACCTGGAAAACAACCTCCTTGAGAGCTCGTTGCGTTGCTACCTGCGCGCCCTGCGCGTGTGCGGCGGAGCCGGTCGTCGCGGCAACTGGCAACTCATATTTGAGCACCTGCACACGCTGCTAGCCCACATATACCGCAAACTCGGAAATCAAATACGTAGCATTGTCATGGCATCCATTGCGGTGTCGATGGGGACGCCCATGTACAGCAACCCACACACCGGGCCTCACAACTTTGACGCGTTTTGGGGACGGCAGCGGCGGGTCTTGGGCAACCTCGGCTACACGCTCTGCCCGCACATGGTTGCCCCCTGCGTCTTGCCAGAGTCCATTCGCGTCAGCACGAATGCGTTGCGCGCCGCGGAGGCGACGGCGCTGGAGTCGCAGGCGGTCAGCGACGAGCTGGCGGAGTTGGAGTGGCAGAAGATGGAGGAGAAGCTGCGGCGGCACTACACCGGCTGCGCCTCCGCCCCGCCGCGTCATCGCTTGAACTCGCGAGACGAGCCTGGAGGCATGCGACGCTACTCCATGCACCTCACGGAGCCGTTGGAAATCACGTTTACGCTGCGGAACCCCATTGGTGGTCCTCTCACAGCCGAGAAGCTCTGTCTCTTGTACGTCGCGAAGCAAAAGCCGGATCAGCTGTGGAAAAGTGCCGCTGCGCAGACTGTGGAGTTGCCGGCGGCGGCGTCGAAGTCGGTCAGCTTGTCCTTCTCGCCAAGCGAGGAGGGCACCTACGTCATCATTGGGCTTTGCTGGACGCTCATGGAGCTGGAGGGGTACTACTACTTCGCCACGCAGACGCACAAGGCGGAGGGCGGCGGCGGGGCATTTGAGTACGCCATCGAGCACCCCGTGCCGGACGTGGCGGCGGCGGCGAACATAGAGGTTGCGGTTGCGCCTCCGCAGGCGTGGATCACGGCACGCCTCGACCCCGAACTTCCACCTCTCCTGCGGGATGGGGAATACTACCAGACGACGCTGGTCTTGACAAACGAGAGCTCCTACCGCACGGCGCGCAACATCGCCCTGCAACGCAGCCCGAGAAATGCGCATGTGGCCTGGATGGACGGCTTCAGCCTGGAGCGCAACCTCGATGCGGAGGCGACGCTGGCGCTGGAGGAGGAGCTTGCCCCAAAGGCAATTGTCACGCTGCCGCTGACGGTGCAGGCCCATCACAGCCGGGACTCCTCCGCGCGGTGCAAGAATAACATTTTTTTCCTTGTGGGCTACACCTCGGGGAGCCAAAAGGAGGAGGGCGTCTTGTCCCCCGGCGCCTCTGTCACTTCCACGTTTGTGGCTTCCCGCTTTCATCGCTTTTTCCGTCGCTTCGTGGTGAAGTCGGCGATTCTGCTCTCCTCTATGGTTTTGCCCCCCGCGAACGCGACGCTGGCGACGGCGGCGCTCATCACGGCCAGCAACGTCTCCGAGGCACGAGACCCACCGCTGCGGGTGTCGCGGGTGATGGTCGTGCATCGGCCGCGCTGGCGCGTTGCCCCCACCTCGCTTGGGAGCCTCCTGGCAGACAACGCACTGGACTGCATTTTGTCCCCCGGCGCGGCCCTCTGTGTCCCGCTCAGCGTGGTGAGTGAAACGCCAGCGGCAACCTCCGCCGATGGCGCGGCGGCGATGGTGGAGGAGGTGTGCATTCCGCTCTCCTCGGCCCTGCCAGGGGCCGCGCGGCGCACGGCGGTGGAGGCCAACATCGGGGCCGGCGTCGTGGACTCGGCGGTGAACGTGTACTTCATGCGCTGCAGCTTCCGTGGGCCCGGGACCATCGGCGAGGTGAACGTCCCCGAGGCTCTCCCCTTCTACCTTGACAAGGCAGGCGTCTCGACGACGTCGGCGGGAACGAATGAGGCGGCAGCCCCGCAGGAAAACCCCTACCACCCCCATCCGCAGCGGCAACAGCACCAGCATTCACTGGTGTCTGTCGTGGAGCCGTTTACGCCCATTTGTGTGGCGGTGGTCTGGGCGGTGGAGGAGCAGGGGCATATGCACAGCGGGCATGTCTTTCACTTTTTCGATCCCGTTCATTGCCTTTCCTCCTGTGAGTCCTCCGTGGCTGAGGCGCACGAGCGACTGCAGGAGCACCTCTGTGAGTCTATGATTGAGAATCGCACTCTTCACGCCCGCCACGGTGCGCTCTTCTACCACGTGGCGGTGCCGTACACTGTGGAGTCGACGGCAGACAGCCCGGATGCCGTGATGATTCCCGTCACGGTGCACTGCCGCTCGCTCGCGGCGCATCCGCTGCTCGTCACGGTAAAAACCACGACACCCGGTTCTCTCGCCTCTGTTCCCTCCTCCACCTCGTCTCCCGTCCCTGTCGTCTTCGTGGGGAAGACGAGTGCTGGTTTTTTACTTTTGCCCCACGAAAATTACTCGCTAAAATTCACGGCCTGCGCCTTTGCCCCGGGGGTGGCGGACTGCAATCTCTTTGAGGTGAGTGCGGTGGCACTGCGACTTCCGCCGGTGGGAGACCGCGGTGCGTGGCAGACGGGCACCTCGCGCAGCGCCCTGATGACACTACTCGGAGGGACCACGGCGTGCCTTGTTGGGGCCCCGGAACCGTGCATCGCAGCAGGGCTGGGCGGGGGAGGCTGTGGTGGGAGCAACTGTAGTGGTGGCGGCACGGCACACTTAGGCGGCGTCGGGGCTCTGGTGTGCGAAAGCATCCGCATAGTAGTCCTTGGCCACGGCATAGCCGCCATCGCGCGCGTTCTTTTTCTCTCCTCCTCATCGGCGGCCATGCAGGCGGCGGCGGCGCGGGTGCAGCCGTTCCAGGAGGAGGCCGAGCTGTATGAGCGGCAGTGCAAGGCGCTTGAGCAGTGGCGGGCCCTGCACGAGGCCAGCGCAGGCACGCAGGTGCAGAAGGAAGACGCGCTCTTGTCCTTGTACCCTCCCCGGGCACACGACCTGGCGGAGAAGCTGCAGAAGAGGCCCCTTCCCACGGGGCAGTCAGACACGCCCCTGTCGCAGCCGCATTGCGGAAGCGCCGGTGGGACCGGCTCCACCGGTGCCGCCGCGTTGGGCTACGTCGCGGCATCGCCGACTTCCTCAGACGGCGCGGTGGACGTCGCCAGCCGCGTTGAGCAGCAGGATAGTCAACAAGGGCTACGAGACGTGACCCTCTCGCGGGGGGAATCGTCGGAGTTGGAAACGGACACAAGCGACTCCAGCACGACGAGTGGAGACGAGCCTGCGTAAACCGCCGCGGGGCATAAAAGAGAAGAAGAAAATAATAAAAAAAACTCCACGCATCGTATCGCCGAAGCGGTGCCGCACTTTGTGGCTACTGCGGAGGGGAGAATCTAAGAGGGGGGAAAGGGAGAGGTGTCGACATGATGGCGCAGCGACCCCGTGCCGGGGATGAAGGAAGCATTGGGGCGTGTCCGCCGGAAAAACACGAGGGCTACGTCCGAGTGTGGAGCTAATTTGGGGAGAGGGAGGGGGTAAAGGCAATGATCAACTCTCGCTCCCTGTATTTTGTGTCTGTCTGTGCGTTTTGCGTTGTTGTTGTTTTTTTTTTACTGTTGGTGGTGTTGGTGTTTCCTGCTGTTTCCTTTTCTCGAGCCGTTGTGTGCGTTTCCGCCCTCCCGTCACATCTCACACGTTTTGTTTGCCGCGCTGCACGCGCCACTTTTACGGCCTGCTGTTCGCCAAATCTGGCGAACACTCTCTTGGATTTGTCGTGTGATGTTGAACATATATATATATATATATTTGTGTGTGTTCAATTGCGGCTTGATTCGTCGGAGCGCGTCCCTCCCGCGTCCTTGCTGGCACGCGTGGGTTTACAGGCAGGGAAGAACAGGGGAGGAGACTGCTCTCCAGCCGCGCGTACGACATGGGAGTGCGGATCTGCCTTTGTTATTTGTGCGCTTTTCGCGCCCTCTTGCTCCTCCTCTGCTGCTGTTGTTGTTGTTGTTGGTTTCCCTGGGTGCGGTTTGCCTTTTATTTTTTGTTGTTGTTGTTGCCCGCCGTTTTGCTCGTGGCCTCGTCGCTGCTGTTAGTTCAGCTGTGGGGGGAGGCGCAACGGGCTGACTGACTGCCTGGCAGGCTGCGTGTGTGTGTAGTCGTGCGGGCAGGGCGAAGGGATGAAGTGCAAGCGGTCCCGCCCGCAGGAGACGCCGCGGCGTGGCGGGGGGCCGGGGCGGGGCGGGCAGGAGCCGTCGCGCTCCTCCTCCTCCTCCTCGCGCTCCTCCTCCTCGGGGCGGCTGGCCTCCTCGCGTCGCTCCTACTCCTCCTCCTCGCGCTCCTCCTCCTCGCGGGGGGCGGAGGGGCGCAAGCACTACCCCGTCTTCACGGCGGAGTACGCCAGGCGGTACGGCGGCGGCAACTTCCCCTTCCTCTGCCTGGATCCCGGCGGGCAGTCGACGCAGGTGCACTCCCCGCTGCTGCGCCTGAAGCAATTGCCGCCAACGCCGTGGGTGCGGGACCGGCCGCGCTGGATTTTGTACAACGAGTACGTGTTTCTGCGGGAGCTGGGCAAAGGCACCTACGCCAAGGTGGTCCTCTGCCGCTCCCTCCGCACCGGCGACTTCTGCGCGCTGAAGATATTTCGCAACGAGTCCTCCTACAAGAAGGCTTACTGGGACGAGGTGGGGGCGCTGCAGGCGCTGTGTCGCCCGCACCCGGAGGACGCGCAGCAGCAGCAGTACGAAGTCGGCCTCTGCGAGGCGAGTCAAACTAGCGGCGGCGGCGGCGGTGTCGTGGTGTCCGCTGCGACGGCCCGCTGCGATGCGTTTGACGCGGCGGCGGTGTGCCAGGGGCGCGCGGGTCGCTTTATTGTTCCCATCGCCCACCTGCCGCACCCCGTGCACCACGCGATTGTGCTGCCCCCGCTGGGACCCTCCCTGCTGGACCTGCTGCGGTGCATCCGCGAGGTGTCGCTGCGGACGGAGGACGAGGCGGCCCCCGCGGCCCGGCAGCGGAGCCGGGCGATGAACGGCGCCGAGACGGCGGGTGACGCTCTGCCGCAGCGCGGTGCCATAGAAGTCCACTACAGGGGGCTGCCGCTCCCCCTTCTCCGCACGGTCCTGTACCAGATCCTCCTCTTCCTGCGCCATGCACACCGCCGCGGCATCGTGCACACCGACCTCAAACCCGAAAACGTGCTCTTTGAGTCCAACGACACCCTCATGACGCGGGTGTGCATTAGGCGGCATTGCTACAACAACACCGCCGCCACGTCGCCTGCGTTTCTTGACCCGGCGCAGCGCGGCGGGGTTGGTGGTGGCGCTGCCGCCTCTGCCTCACCCGCCTTTAACGCCGCGGCGAGGGCGGCGAGCGTGAGTGAGGCTGTGGTGAACGTTCAGCTGCCTGTGATGAATGCGGTGCGAGTCATCGACGTTGGGGCCGCCGAATTTCTCTCAAATTGCCGCCAAGTGAGCGCCTTGGATGGCGTGACGCCTGTCTTTTACCACCGCATCCACACAACGCACTACCGCAGTGTAGAGGTGCTGCTTGGGCTCGGCTGGACGAGTTCCGCCGACCTGTGGTCGCTCGGCTGCATGATTCCAGAGTTGCTCACGGGGGATTGTGTCTTTATGCCGCGCGACGACCTGGAGCACCTCGCCCTCATGCAGCACATCGTGGGGCCCTTCGACGCCGCAGAGGGCGGCGCACAGGCGGCAGCGGCGGTCGTTGGCCGCGTGTTCGCCAAGGGGCGTCGCTTCGGGGACTATTTTGACACGCGCACCATGCAGCTGGCGTGGCCGCAGCCTTCCACGGCGGCGGCGTCGCATCGCCGTCGGCGCAGCGCGTCGCTGGAGGACCTCCGCTACGTGGCGTCGCGGCCCACGCTGGAGGAGGTGCTCGGGCCCATCCCGCTGCTGCACGACCTCTGCCGCCGAATGCTCGACTACGACCCGCTGCGCCGCATCACCGCGGCGGAGGCCCTCCACCACCCATTCTTCACCGCGCCCGCGTAGGGGCGGCGCAGAGGCGCAGGCGAATAAAAGGCGCACAAGCACGCTCACACACACACGGCGCACACATACTGGCAAAAAGAAAGAGGGAGGGGGGGGGGCGTTAGCCGACAGGCGAGCTATACACGCGTGGAACGAAGAGTGAGAGGGTGAGAACGCGAGCGCACGTGAGGCGGAAATGCGGGGAGGTGTACTCCTGTGACGCGTCGCACTTTAATTTTGTTTTTCCCTCTTCTCGCTATGTCCCCACCCACCCTCTCGCTCACTCCACCTAACTATATCAATCTCTCTCTCCGTCGCTGTATATTCCCCTGCACTGCCGCCTCACCTCGCGTAATCGCCGGCCAGAAACGTCACTGCTCTTGTTGCTGCTGCTGCTATTTGTTCGCCATACACACACACACACGCATAGAGAGAGAGAGGTCCAAGCGTGGATCGCGGCCGGACAGACACAGACACCCACCGCAATGCAGCCAGTGCAGGCGAATCCGCAGCTCGCTGGGTTGCCGCAGCGAGACGTCCTAGTGCTGGCGGAGAAGCTGCAGCTAATCACATACGACGGCTTCATGCACTGCGCCCGGCAGTGCATCACCCACTACGGCGAGGACTCCATTCCCTACCACCCAGGCGAGAAGGCGTGCCTGGACCGCTGCGTCAGCAAGGTGCACAACGGACTTGAGCTCTCTCGTCAACTCAAGAGGGAGTTCGAGGAAAAAGTGAAGAAAGGCGAAATGCCGTATAAGTGGATGAGAGACATGACATCCGCAATGACATAACCCGGCGATGTAGCGACGCGGCTGCGGCTAATGCCATTGGTAGCGAGGGCAGTGGCGTTGATGAGGCGTCTGGTGTGTGTGTGTGTCCAATCTATTTGTTTCTCGCGCGGTCGCTGCAGCGGTGGCAGCAGGAGAAAAACTAATGGGTCCGGTGCCCCGTGTGCGCCTGGAGGCGGAGGAGCAGGAAGGAGGAGGAGGAGGAGAAGGGGGGCACACAACTAATAACGAAGACAAGAATTTTTGGTGGAGGAAAGAGATCTGGTGGGTGCTCCGCCATTTCCTGCCGCCGCTGAGAGCGCGGGAGGGCGAGCGCAGGCAAGACCTCCCACACGCACGCCACCGACGCTTGTTCGCCGGGCGGGCCTGCGCCTGGAGGCCTCTCCCACCGCATTCCTGTTTTCTCGTCCTGCCGCGTGCCTGCATCTGCTGCCACAACTGCACCCACTTGTGTCTGTATGTGTGTGTGGGTGGGGGGGGGGATGGAAGGAAAGGAAAGGAAAGGAAAGGAGGACGGGAGCAATACAAGGGAAGGTCACAATAAGATAAAACAAGCGCAGGAGCAGCAAAAGCAAAAAAAAAAAAAAAATGTCCTATCGCGGCTACGGTGGAAGCTACCGTGGCGGAAGAGGTGGAAGGGGTGGAAGAGGTGGATCTCACTGGCAGAGACCGGCATATGAGCAGGAGACGTTTCGCGCCCCCGCCGAGGCCCCCTCTGCCGCACCTTACGCCGAGTTGAGGAATTACCTCAACTCCGTGGAGGGCATGAACTACGGGGAGCTGAAGTCCTTGACAAATGCCTCCTTTGCTCTTTCGGAGACGGTGCGATGCACTTTTTTGGCGATTCAGTCCGACCCCTTTGCCCCTGGCAGCCAGGTGCGCGTGTCCTGCCCTTGCCCGTTTCAGCTGGAGAAGGTGCTGCAGGGCTCTGATTTGGAGTCCTGCGTGCCGTGTCGCCGTGTCGCGGCGGAGGACTACATTCTGCGCTGCTTCCACGAGGGACACCGTCGCGGGGTTGCGCGGTACCACAGCGGGGCGCTGCAGGTGATGCGGCCCTCGCAGCACGTGCTGGAGCGCAGCACGGTGACGCTTGTGCGTGGGGACCGGGGCAGAGGCGGGGGGGTGGAGGTGAACTTGTTTGCGCGGGTGAAGCTGCCGGGCCACGGCCGCCGCATTGACGGCCGTGGGGCGATTAACATTATCTACGACGAGCTCCTCCCGATCATGGAGCGCTGCGTCGTGGGCCTGGACGAGGAGCGCCTCTATCAGCACGTCACCTGCGTGCACGACCAGGAGCATCTTCGCGGCGAGTTGCGCGCCGCCGGGTGTGTGGCGTTTGTCGCCAACGGCGCGGTGCTGCCGCGCGTGTCGGGGGAGTCGGACCGGCCGCTTGAGAAGGGCGCGGTGCCGTTTTTCTCGCCGCCGACGCTGGAGCGCACCTTTCGGCTGCCGCACAGCGGGGCGAGTGTGACGGGCATGGGCCTCCCGCACGGACTCACCCTCATCGCGGGCGGCGGGTTTCACGGCAAGTCCACGCTCCTGCGGGCGCTGGAGGTGGGGGTGTACAATCACGTGCCGGACGACGGCAGAGTTTACGTCGTCGTGGACCCCACGGCGGTGAAGATTCGTGCCGAGGATCGACGCTCCATCAACGGTGTCGACATCTCGCCGTTTATTAACAATCTTCCGCTGCAGAAGCCCACGACGTCGTTTGCCACCTCCGACGCCAGCGGCAGCACCAGCCAGGCCGCGAACATCATCGAGGCGCTGGAGCTGGGCTCCCGGCTGCTGCTGCTGGACGAGGACACCTGCGCCACCAACCTGATGTACCGCGACGACCTGATGCAGCGGCTTGTGCCACGCGAGCAGGAGCCCATCACCCCCTTTGTGGAGCGCGTCACGGACCTCATCCAGAACCACGGGGTGTCGGCGGTGATGGTGATTGGGGGGTCCGGGCAGTACTTTCCGCACGCCACCGTGACGTTGGTCATGAATTCCTACAAGGCATACGATTGCACCGCGCGTGCGCGTGAAATTGCCTCCACGTGCATGCCGCCTGTGCCGCCACTTGAGAAGGACAGTTCTGCCTTTGCCTCACCCATGCAGCGCCGCTTTGACGGGAACGGAACGTTCTGCACCGTGCACTGCCGCAAGGGACGCGACAGCATAAAAGTCAGCGGCGTCGGCCTCGACACCATCCGCTTCGCCGAGGAAAACATTGACCTCTCGCTGGTTGAGCAAGTTGTGGAGGAGGGGCAGGTGAACGCCATCGCCCAGTGCCTCGCCATGCTGTACGACGGTGACGACGCCGGCGTCGAGGCGATGCTTGCGAAGGGTAAATCGTTGCAGACGCTTTACTCCCCCGCCGGCGGCAGCGAGCCGCGCAGCGTGCCCTTCTACTCGGACTTCTCTACGCTAATTGAGGGCTGCGACGCCACGCTGCGTGAGGCGCGGCTGGAGGCGCGAACGCCATCGTGCTACCTGCCGCGTGGCTTCACCTCCGCGGTGCGGCGGTTTGAGATTGGGGCGGCGCTCAACCGCCTCCGCACCCTTCGCACCCTCGCGACAAGCATGAAGTGAGGCGAGGCGGAAGGCAACGATGCGGAGGGGGGGGGGAGAGAAAGGGCGCGGAAAGAAACGAAGAGCACACGCAACGAAAAGAGCAGAGGAGGTGGGGGGAGGAGGGTGAGGCTGTACATCACAGCGACGACAAGAAGAAGAAGGGGAGCAAAGGTCACGGTTGCATGCGGTAGGTGAGTGCGGCAACTCGCCATGAGACTCCCACTATGGGATTTGGGGAGTTCTCACACCATCTTTATTGCGGCGGAGCCTGTCTCTGCGAACAAGGAAAGGAGGTGGGGGAGAGAAATGAGTGGGGCTGTGATAAAAACGTGGTCATTTCCATGAACAAGGAAATAGCGGCGCACCCCCTAAATTCCCCTCCTCATTTTGCACCGACGACGGACCCCTCCTGTCACTGCGTCCGTCGAGGCGCGTGCTTGCGTGTGCGTGTGAGTGTTGTTGTTGTTTTTTTTTTGCTTCTTTTGTTTGGGGGAAGTGGGGTTGTAGGAGTATTTCTCTTATGCTTCTGTGTTGTGTGTATGTTGTGTGCCTTGGAAGGAAGGGATGAGGGAAGGTAAGCTGAGGGCGCTGGGGAGTGCCCTGCGCAGGCGCAAAAGGTTTTTCGTTTTCCCGCGCCTCACGGTTTGCTTATGCCTGGCATTTGTTCTGATGGCGTGGCTGTCCGTAGCCTTCTGCTTTTCTCTTCTGCCCCACTTCAAGCTGAGTGGCGAGAAGCGGCAGACGGAGGCCCCTGTCGGCGTCACGACGCGCCTGGACCGCGTCACGGACCCCGTGAACGAGCTCGTCGCCGCCACGCTAAAGCAGCTGCACCACGGCACCTACCTCGTGACCAGCCCGCTGAACGACGGGTCTGGAGAGGCCGTCAAGTTCGTCTTCAAGGCGGAGTGTCGGCCCGCGTCGCAGTGGCACGGCCAGCAGGGGTGGAGCGAGGTCGCCGTGCATCACTTTCAGCGGCTCTTCTACGGCGGCGACGATGTCCCGTACCCGCGCGCCGAACTCGCCCGGGGCGTGGTGGTCGCCGTCACCGAGGCGCAGCTGCGCCGCATCGTCCACGCGGACCAGTGCGGGGTGCTCAACGGGAACGCCACGACGCGGGTGCTGGAGAATTTAGTGGGGGGCAAAAAACTCCTGCGCGGGGCCCAGCGGGGTGTTCCGGGGGAAAATCCACGTGCGACCGTCTTGATGATTGGCGTGGCCCTGACGTGGCGGGATGGGTACAGCGACGACAGCTACCCCGCGTCGGCTCTCTACGCCCCCTACTTCACCGTCCCTCCCTACAACCCCGAGGTAAAGCGGGAGCCCGTTCACCGCTTTGCCTTGTATGAGATGTCCGACGTCATGGTGTTTGACTACCTTTTGTTAAACGCGGACCGCGCCTTCAATAAGAACTGGTTCCGAGACACCGCGACGCATCTGCACTCAACGCTCATGGATAATGGTTGGGCCTTTGCGGGGGAGCGGTTTGGGTCCTCGGTGTGCGAGGTGGAAAGCGGCCTCCTCCGCTGCCCCTCGCCGCTGCTCACGTGGAGCAGAGGACGACGTCGCCTGTGGCGGTGCCTTCCCCGAGCCCCTGCGAAGGCGGCCGCCGAATCTGCAGCCCCCGCGGAGGCTCGCCGACCCGGACTGCTGAAATGGTGCCGTTTCCGCCCTGAGACGGTCCGTGCACTCAAGCGGACACGGGAGCAGTGGATTACTGCCCAGCATGCGGAGGAGTCACTCTCGCACCGGTGGGTGGAAACGATGAGGTCAGACGTCCTTCTTGCGTTCTTGCTGGAGGCCTACGGCTCGCAGACATCGAGAAAAGGGTTTAACCAGGCCCTCTCACGCTACATCCGTGGGTGCCCTTCATTTTCGGCCCCGGTCCCCACCGAGGGGGACGTAACCTCGCAGAAGATCCTGCACGCATTGAAAGTTGGGCTGCAGCATCGCATGGACAGGTTGGTCGCTCACGTGAGCGCCTGTCTGCAGGCGCACGGAGATGCCTACGTCTATGCACACGATATTGAGGACTGAGAGAGGGGTCACTTCTTCTGTCGCGCCTTATCTCCTCGTGCACTCGTGCTGTTACCCCTGCTCTGTGCGTGTGTGTGTGTGTGCGCGCGCGCGCGCGCTCCGTGCCCGCCTCGGAAGCTGTGGGTGATGCGCTACCGGGGTGCGGGGGCCTGGGTGGGACGTGCCCCACGGCCTTCGCGTGGACGCCGCGAAGGATGGCGGCTGTAGCCTCGGCTAAGGCGTGCGAGACAAATTTCTGCTCGCGACCAACCGGCGCCAACGCTCACGCGCCTGTGCGCACGTGTGGCTTTATTTGCTATTATTGTTTCTCTCTTTTTCTTTTTCCCGCGTGTGTGCGTGTGGTGGTGCTGTTGTTGTCCCCCTGTGAAGACGCAGGATGAAACGTCAGGCCTCACGCCTGTAAAAAAAAAACTACGCAATAAAAGTTGCTGGTGGTTTTTCGTTGGTTTCCACGTCACCACCGCAGGACCTCACGGCGCAGCGGGGGCAGCTGTTGGAGTTCCAGCTCTTCCCCGTCCCCGCACCGAACGCGGGAATAAGTCGCCTCCTGCAACTCCACCACTTCGTCTCCGTATCATCAATGACATATATATATGCATGTATGTGATTTTGGCTTGTCTTCCTCTGCGTCGTCGCGCTCTCTCGCTGTGGGATGTCGCACCCACATCTCTGCGTCTTCGACCCCAACGACATGGCTGCGGGGGTGTGTATTTGGCTTCGCTTCCTTGTATCCTTCTCTCGGGGCAAAAGTTAAGGTGACAGGGCTCGGTCTATTCTCTACGTGCGTGTGGCTTTCGCCTCTGGGGGAAGGGGGCTGTGCTTGGGAGGAGCGGAGGGCAGAGGTCTATTAGGTGCGGCGCAGGTGTAATGGCGCGTACGGCGTCGGACGATTGGGATGCGTTTGGCGTCTTTGACGGCCCCCCGCCGCCCCCCGCCACGCACCTCACTCTTCGGCAGTATTTGGCTCTGGTGCGGTGGGTTGGGCAGCGGCTGAAGCTGGCGGACGTCTCGTTTCGGTTCAACCTCCCGACACTGGGGGACGCGGAGGAGGAGGCCGCTGCGCTGAGTGCGTGCGGCCACCCACCCGTGTGTGTCCACTTGGCTCGCGAGGAGGGGCTCCACGCGATGCGGCACCCGGAGTCCCTCCCCGCCGTTGCATGCGACGAGGCGTACGCGGCGGTGCACGGGCCCCCGCACGTGCACTGTTTGTTCTGCCTGCATGAAAGTCGGGAAATGCACCGCCCCGCGGTCCTGCCAGATCTGCGTGGGGACGTGCTGAGCCACTACACGCAGCATATGCAAAAGCGAAACGAGTGCCTGGCCCTCCTGGAGGCTGAGGCGGTGGCCCACGTGGGTGAGGCAGACTGGGGAGTGGACCTCTCGCACGCGGCGCAGCGGGAGGAGCTGGAGCGCACCGCGGAATCCGCAGGCCGGCATGCCTGCTTCATCGCCTCTGCCGGCACGGCGGCCTGCCCCGTCGTTGTGGCGTACTGTGCGGCGTGTGACCAGCTGGCCCCGCTGGCATTCTTCGCCGCCGCGGCGTCTGGCGTCGACGGCGGCGACGACAACAAAATAGAGCCACGACAACACCTCGAGGCGGCGAGGAGCGTGGAAGAGGCTGAGACGATCTTGGCGCGCCTCTTGCTTGCGTGTGAAGTGCTCTGTGGGCTGCAGCGCGAGCGGGCCCAGGCGGCAGGAGGGTCCACGCCTCGGGTGCAGCAGGAGACGCACATTTTTCTGGCGACGCCCCTCCTCTTCGACGAGGCGAAGGCGGAGCTAACGGAGGAGTTCGAGAGCGGGGCGGTCGTCACGCATTGCTCAGTCATTCTTCCCATGGCCACCGTGGGTGGCCCGCCGGAGGCGCCGCGTCTCTGCCTTATGGACGAGGAAGCAACGCTGCCTTCGCTGCGGAGCCAGCTGCCGCCGTACTCCTTCACGGACGCCGTTGTGGGTTTCGCGATGGCGTGGCCCACGCAGGCGGCCACGGACGCGAAGGTTGCGTGGGTGCTGCGGCACGACGGCGGCCTGCGGGTGCAGCGGCGGCTGGCGTACGTGGAGGACACGGACGAGTGGGTCATTGCACGTGTGTTTTATCGCCCCGACACCGCCCCGCTGGAGGGCTGCGGCGACGGTGGCGGCGGCATTCGCGTGCGGAACGGGTGCAGCGTTGCCAGGATGCTGCCGCTGACACTCCTGCAACAGTACACGTCTGGGCCCCGCTGCGAGCCGGCGGACGCGGCCACCGGCACTAGTGTCGCGACTGGTAATAATAATCGTCCGCAGACGAAGTACACGCTCGACGAGGTGGAGGATGGAGAGCTGCTGGGGTGCCCGTACGGTGCGGAGGCCAGAACCGTCCAGTTCTTCGCAGGCATGACGGCGCTGGCCAAGGCGATGAGGGCGGCGGCCGACCACATGAAGGAGAAGCAGCCGTATGAATAATCAATCACGATGAAAGAAAGGGGAAGAAAACAACAGCAAGAATATATTTGCGTCTCATCTCTCGTGCAACTCTTTTGCGTGCTTGCTGCATTTCTCACAAAAGCCTGGCTCCCCTTGTGCCGTTTGAGGGATATACATTTTTATATAGAGGGAGAGAAGCCGACCATCACGTGGGTTTTTTTTGTATGCTTTTTCTTATTGCGACTCTGGCACACCGCCTCTCTCTCTCTCTCTCTCTCTCACTGTTAGTATCACGTGTCTTCGTCCCCCCGCCTGCCTGCTGGACTTTTGTTGGCACGTGAGGAGCGAGTAGGGAAAAGGAAGAAGAGGAGCCAAAGCTTTAAAAAAGTTGGGAGGGGGAGGGGGGAAATACGCCCGCAGATGCGGAAATATATGTGGTCGCCGCCCGCCCCGGGGGACGGTGCACGCGTATTCGCGGGTGGCGACGCCGCGGAGGCGCCGGAGGGGTCCTCCCCGAGGGCCTGCGGGGAGCTTGCGATTGTGCCTCCGCACTCCGAGCTGCAGCTGGCGCCGCGGAGCCAGTCGCCGTGTATGGCGCTGGCGCACTCCGGGGTATGCCCCACCTGCCACCGCCCGCTCAACACGAGCCCCGCGGAAGAATTGCCGCTGTCTCCCGCGGAGCGACGCTTCTCCCCGCAGTACTTTAGGGCCCTGGTCCAGGCAAACGCGCAGCATCTTTCCATCTGCGATAGCCCCTCCTTTTGCCAGCAGCGGCGGCAGCAGCAGCAGGGGGTCGAAACTCCCGAGACCTTGCAGCAGGTCCGCATGTCCTCCCGGCCGCGGAGCAAGCGCGCGGCCGACGCCGAGAACGAGGAGAAGACGAAGGAGGAGGAGGAAGCGACGGGTGTATCCAGGGAGGCGAGTGCGGGCCTGGCCGAGCTCGCGCGGGGGGAGGAGGCGAACGTTGGCGGCGAGGGTGTTAGTGACCATGGCGGGTACTACAGGCGGTACTTTAGGGAAATTCAAAAGCTCGGCAACGGCACCTTTGGTGGGGTGTACCTCTGCCAGCACGTCATGGAGGGTGTCGCGCTCGGGTACTTTGCGTTGAAGAAGATTCCCGTGGGCGACAATGTAGAGTATCTGCAGAAGGTGCTGCGTGAGGTACGCATCCTGGAGGAGGTGAAGCAGCACCCCAACGTGGTGGAGTACAACCACAGCTGGGTGGATGTGGCGCAGCTAGCCGACTTTGGTCCACCCGTGCGGTGTCTGTTTATTCTCATGGAGTACGCGACCTTGGGCTCGCTGGACTCGTACCTTGAGCTGCACGGCACGGCGCTGCCGACGATCGCCGTTTGGTACTTTTTCCTATCCGCCTTGGCGGGAACCGTCCACCTGCACAAGAAGAATATTCTGCACCGTGACCTCAAGCCGCAGAACCTGCTGCTTACAGGGGCGCCTGAGAAGCCTCCGCGGGTCCTTGTCAGCGACTTTGGAACCGCCACCCTCCTTGAGGAGGTTTCGTACGAGCGGACGGGCGGGACGGGGACGGTGGAGTACATGGCCCCTGAGCTCTTTGAGTGTTCCTCGGAGAGCAGTGGAACGTACATCAACGCCCACACCAAGGCGTCGGATGTCTGGTCGCTGGGGATGATCCTGCACTACCTTGCCTGCAACGGGACGCTGCCGGCGCGCCTGCCCAACGGCGCGGTGGTGTTGAACGTGGAGGAGTCTGCCCCGTTTATCCGGCCGCCGGAGATGGTGGAACTCATTCGAGCCATGCTGCACCGCAATCCAGCGAAGCGCCCCACCTGCAACGAGTTGCTGAAATCTACCGTCGTGCAAACCATTCTTCGCAGCTTTGAGAATGCAAGTCACTTCACGGATATTCTTCCCACGGCCGCAGTGACTCCTGCCAGAAATTCTCCCTCGTTGCGTGGAAAGAAGCGGGATACGGCAGGACGCTCGATACATGTACGCCGTGGAGAGAATGACTCCGCCACTTCGTGCGCCCACGACTGGAATGCTCCGCACGATAACGAAGAGGAGGAGGCGTCGCAGCAGCCACACTCGCCAGTGGTGGAAGTGCCGCTAATGCTGCAGTACAGAACGATGGAGTCGAAGCGCGTTACGTCCGCCGGGGCGCGTGGGGTTCAGAAGGGACGAAGAATAACTATGGTGGATCAGGCCGTGCAGACGGATTACGTCAAAATCGTCTACGAATGATGACAGTTGTGTTGCCGTTTGCGCCTTGTTTCTTTTTTCAGTTTGTGTAGTGCTTCCCAAGTTCTCGTGGAGGCGTCGTGGGTGGGATAGCTCGGGCGGCGACTCTTTGCCGTCGACTATGGATGGATGGGTGAGGAAATGCAGTGGCCACTACTCCCCAACCTTTACCTGAGCTGTCTATCCCTTCTTGCTGCTGGTGGTGGTGTGGAGCACGAGGTGAAGTAGGTTAGCTGCCTGCATTTTTCTTTTTGAAGCCTGAGTCCTTCAAGCGAAGGTGGTGGTGTTACTCTGCTGATGCGGATACACCCATGCAACCAGCATTGTTTTCTAATATATATATATATATATTAGCCAAGTTGTTTATTTCTTGGTGTCCACGTTTCTGTGCCTTTTGTTGTTCTTGTCCCCCCCCCCCCCCGCACTTGCCTTTTGTTTTTACGGTTTTTTTTTTCGTTCCTTGTCTGTGTCTGAGAGCGAGAGAGCGAGAGTGAACGAGATGGACGTCCTTGAAGTGATTCTTTGAGTGAATTGCGTCTTGTCGCGTTCGTCTGACGGCTAAGTTTCCTTCTCTCTATCCGTGGCGGGGAGGTGCAGAGACGGTTGGGTTGCGGGGCCGCATCACAGCTGCGTGCGAGTTGCGCCGCGGGGCGATGCGTTTTGAATGGCCCGCTTCTCTTCTCTTCCGTGCCTCGTTGTTTGGCAACCCACGCGCGCGGGCGCGGCAGGGTTGGGGGGACTGAAGCGGCTGCCCAAAAGTAACAGAATAACAAAAAAAAAAGGAGGCGGGACGCGGCGGTGAGGGCGGCGCGATGACCGGGCAGTCGCTGGGCGCGGCACTTGCGCTTCCGCTGCTTGGGGTGCTGGGCTGCGCGACTTACGTCACCCGCCGGCGTCTGCGGGACGTCGTGCCGCGGGATCCGCTGGACGTCTCGCCGTACTGCCGCGGCGCTGCGCTGCGGACGCGGCAGGGCGGGGGCCCGTGTCTGATGTGCGCGTTTGAGGTGCCCGTCGTGATGCCAACGGCGCACATCCGCCGCCAACTCGCGAGCGCCACCGCGGACGAGTCGCTCTACGCGCTGCATGCGCTGCTCTCCAGCTGGCTGATGCGGGTGGAGGTGACTGCAACCGCCTTTGCGGCGCGCTGGCGAGTGTCGGACGCGTACAACTGTTGGCGCTCTGCAGGGCGGGCTGCCCTTGCCGAGCAGCGCCGTGCCACGCCGTCGCGGCAGTGCCGCCACGACACGAGTGGCGCGTTGGACGCGCCTTCGCAATACGGGGAGTGGGAGGCGCACCGTGCGCCGCCGCGGCAGTGCGGGGGCGGCAGGGAGGCTGTCTTGAAGTGCGGGGCGGAAGCGATTGCCGTGTCGCTTGAGCCGGACGTCGAGGGGAGTCGTCAGGCGGTGCTGCGTCTCTGCTACGTGGTGCAGCCGTTTGCGGGGTTCGCGCAGGACTCGCTGGCGGAGCGGCTGGCGCTGTGGGGTGCGGAAACGTACGGCAAGTTGCTGGCCGCGCACGCGGCCCACGCCCTCGAGAGGCTGGAGGCACATTGGCGCCAGTGAGGCTCCTTCGCGGAGAAACAGGGGTGAAGTTTGATGCCGACCGGTATTTTATTGTCTTCTCTGCGTGTCCTCCCCCTCGCGTGCATGCGGCGAGCAAACTGCAGTGGGTCAGTGGGGTGATGCTGCTTCTGTGCCCTGCGCCGCCTCTTCTTTTGGGTTTGTTTTGTTTTGTTTTTCTCCTATTCCCACGTGCTGCTGCAGCAGCGGCGGCGGGGCCGGCGTGCACATTTCCAGACACGTAAAAGGAAGGCAGGGCGGTGGGGACGCGCACACGCGGGGCGCCACCGACGGAGGCAGATAGACTAATAGATAGAGAGGGAGAGAGAGAGAGAGAGAACAAAGTCAGGGAGCGTGGGCCGGCGTGCCCCGCACCGCAATGGAGGTTGGAGACGCGCGGCGGCGGCAGTCGCTGCAGCTCCTCGAGCTCTTCGTCGACCTCATTCACGGAGACCTGATCCGCGCGGACGCCGGCTGCCGCCGCGTCGCTGACGCCCTCGTCGCCGCGTACGAGGATGCCATCCGCTGGCTCGCCACGGAGGAGCAAAGCTTCACGCCTGCGCTGAGGGGCGCCATCGACACGTACTGCGCGAGGCACGTCCTTCGCACCGCGCCGGAGCTCCTCATCACGTCGCAAGCGGCGGCGGCGTCGTTCAAACAGATTGCGGACGTCTTGTGTTCGGCGGGAGAACTGTCGCACGTGGGGGAGGCGATGGCGCGTGAGTTGTCGCACTTGACGCGACGTCTTGCAACCAAGCGCTTTGCGAGGCTGCTCGACCTCATGGGCGACGCCGTCGTTGCGTACATGCAGAAGGCGGCCCAGCAGCACGCGCGGGAGCGGGCGGCGTGCACGACCCTGCAAGAGGGGGAACCGGCCTTTTGGGCGTCTGTAGCGCAGTTTTCCACGGCGCCGACCCGCACAGAGGGAGAAGCTGCCGTCACACGCGAAAAGCGGCCGCGTGAGGCGGCGGCGCTGGCGGACACAGACACGGGCTCAAAAGGGGGCCCGGCGCGTGGCTTCTCGGAGGAACTCCGCCTTGCAATGAGTTCCCCGCCAAAACACCCCCCTGCAAACGCGCTTAGCACGCGTTTCATCGCATGCGCCCAGCCGCGGTCGTCTCCCCCCGCCGTCTCTGGCACGGAAGACGCAAAGAGCGGCACGGCGTCGGCGGAAGCAACTGGGCGTGCGTTACTTCAGGCGAACGATTCGGTCGTGGCGGCCGTGGACGACATGGATAAGAAGAACTCACAAACAGCGCAGGATGTCAGCAGTGGTTTTCTCGTGGCGGATGACTCGGATGTGGCCATCCTCCCTACGCAGGCGGCCGCACGCAAAGGGGTTGTTGTTGCTGGCGGCTTCGATGAATCGGATACCTCGCTCCTTGGCGGTGAGGTTCACGAGCGCCGCTACTTTCTCCTTGCGCAGGCGAATCGATACGAGCCGGATGGTGCGCGACGAGGATCCTTCACGTGACCGCACTGGCATCTCACTTGGCGCCCTCCGGTTTTTTTTTTTGCTTTTCCTCCCATGCGGACTCTCTGGGTGGTTTGAGGAAAGGGAGCGAGGGAGAGTGTCTGAGCGACTTTGCGTGTGGGTGTGGGCGGGTCTGTGTGTGGCTTCTTTCTGAACCGTTTCCTTCCGCTGCAGTTGCCGGCGTACGGGACGCGGCTGCTATGAATGGGTGCGTCGTGCTTTCTTATTTGCTGGCCGTGCGTGCTGACTGTGTGTGGGGGCACGTGTGTGTCTTTCTTTTGCAGTTTGTTTGTTTTCGTCTGCGCTTTCTTGTTGCTTGGCCGCCTCTCGTTCGGCGTTTGGAGCTCCTGCCGCTGCTTATGCCTCGCCAGCGGTGAGGGAAGGCACCGAAGCAACTAAAAAAAAAAGGATAAAGATAAAAAAAAGCCGCACGACGACCGTGTGTGGCGGAAGCAGGCCGGGCGGGAGCCTCTCTGGACTCTGCGGTGCGGCGCCCCGATGGACAGCCAAGGCGGGGAGGAGACGGAGGAGGAGCTTCCGCTCGAGATTGAGGACTACTCGTGCAACACGCGCTTCGAGGAGGTCATTGGGGAAATTGAACGGTATCTCGTGGAGGAGTTTAGTACGCGGCAGGAGCTGCAGCGGTTTCTGCTGAATCCACCGCAGCCCCCGCATCCGCGTCAATGCCGGGATAAGGGCAGCACGGAGGTTGCGCAGGTGGCGGGGGGCCGTCGCGGCAGCGGCGATGGGGAGATGGTTTTTGGCCGTTGCTTTTTCCCGCTTGCCGCAGGCAGCAGCAGCGGCGGCAAGCAGGAGAGCGCGGCGGCGGAGGAGGAAAAGGAGGGCGTTGCTGTGGAGATCCACGTGCAAAGCGGCTTGCGGGGGTCGCAGCGGCAGCGGGAGCAGAAATTGCACCCCATCGCCCGTCTTTTTGCGCTTCCGATTTTCTTTCTGGCGCGCGGAACCACGACGGCGCCGTCGTACCGTCCAAGTGAGTCCTCGTTTTACCTCTCACTTCTCACAACGGCGGTGGGCCGCGCGCTGCGTGGTCCGCTTTCCCTGCGCCTTGACGGTGACCCGTCGTGCCTCCCATCACCGTTCTTCTACGCCGACGGGCTGGCGCCGTGCTTTGTGGCTGTGGGCGACCACTACCAGCTGGCCTTCAAGGGGGTGGCGCCGCCGGTCATGCTGGGCGACGGCGCCTGCCGTCAAGCAGAGTCGTGGACGCTGCAGCAGCTCGTTGCCCAGCCTGTGGTGAAGTGTCGATTTCATTGCAGCGCCTACCCGCACCCGCCGGAGTGGTGCCGTCACGTGTCGGACCAGCTCGACATGTTTCAGCTCCAGATAGGAACGCAGAGCCGCGTCCGGACGGAGGTGTTTGATGGCATCTGCGTGTCTTTGCAACGGGAGTTTCGCTTGAGTGTGCCTCGGCGCTTTTTGCTGAATGATTACGCCCTGGCGGAGTCCGCCGCCCGCGCAGGCGTGGACGCGCGCGTCGCCACCTTGCTGTGGCATGATATTCTGGAACTTGAAAATGAGACCATGCTTCTTGCGGCGGGCCCAACGACGTTTCCCTTTGGCAGTGGCACGGCCCCCCTACGCGGCATTACTTTTTGCTTTCAGTGGAACCAGCTGCTGGACACCGTGGTGCACGAAGATGGGGGGCGGAGCTCCAACCTGAACCCGTTCGCCCCGGAGGGGACGCTGCTGGAGAGCAAGTTGGTCATCCAGGCCGTGGCGGTCCCCAAGAAGGAGTGCGAGTTAAACCACGCTGCGTGCAAAGTTCTGTCGGAGTACGTGTATCGGGTGATGGAGCATGTGTTGTCAGGCGAGGAGGCGCAGGAGGGGCAGCGAGGATCGGATGGACTTTCCAGTGTGGTGAGCGACATCCTCTTTGGCCACACCGTGGGCCTGGCAGGGCAGGAGGCGCTGGTGGAGCGCCTCACGACGCATGCGGCACCGGGTGAGACGGTCAAGCAGGACATTCGTCGTGTGTATTTTCCCGGATCCTTCCTCTGCCGCTTTGCGTACGCATGCGCCAGTCGCGTACAGAGCTTGGAGGATGTCCTTCCACTCTGGTTGCTGGTGGTGGAGCAGCTCAGAGGCCTGCTTGAGGGCAAGGGCGATAGACGGCAATCTCTGCAGGAACTCATTCGCGTCCTTGGCCTCCCCGTCGTGGAGGAAATTGACCATGGACTGCCGCTGTTGGTTCAGAAGTTGCAACTCCTCGCCTATTGCGCGCGGCGCATGCTGAGTGACGCCCAACCACCCGCCGTGGTCAAGCAACCCGCTGACGGCTGGGAGGACGAGATGGAGGAGGAGTTTTCACCCCACAACCCGGGCGAGGTCGCCGCAGCCGCGGGCGAGCTTTCACGGAATGGATTCGTTGTCTCCGGCAAACGCCTCATCACAAATGGCGAGCCGTTGCTGGAGCCAAGGGCGCTTCCCGTCCCTCCCTGCACCTCCGATGTGATGCTGCTGAAGGCGCAGGAGCTGCAGACGCTCGGCACGGCGGCCGCGGCGCAGCACAGCCGTGCGTGGATTCAGAGTAAAGGACTTTTTAATGATATGTGCTTGTTTCTCTACTTCAACCGGGCTCATGAGGGGCGTGTGGTGCGTTTTCCGGACTTTGTGCACTGGCACAGTCCGCGTGACTTTGTTCCGCCCGCGTCGGACGCAGTGGCGCAGGATGACGACGCCTACTTGTCACCGCGGATGCGGCGCCACTCCGACGCCGAGAATGCGTGGATGCGAAATATATGGTGGCCACTGTGGGAGGCGGCCACCCCGCGCTCTCCGGAGGAAATCATGGCCCAGTCGTTTGTTCCCCATGAGCAGGCGCGGCTCATCATTCGCTGGATGGAGCGCGACCTTCCCGCCGCGCAGCTCCTCCTTGAGACCGTGCACGCGAACTTCAGTAATTCGCTGCATCGCATACTCTCCCACCGCTTCGTGGAGGGCAACCGGGCCATCGCGGCGTATGCGCAGCGCAAAAGCGAGGCCATCGCAAGACGCCTCAAGGGCGCGCTGCGCTGGGGCGACGATGGCCCCCTGGTGGACGGCGAGGGCCTGCGCACCACGTACGGCAGCGCCATTCGCGTGATTGGCGAAATTGAGACGTGCCTGTGCGCCGCCTTGGCGACGGAGCGTGTGCTGGGTGCCTTCCAGGGGACCGCCGCCGCACCACCGCCGCCGCCCGCCGGCGAGCCGTGCGCCTCTGTGGAGCAACTCGTCGCGGCGCTTGCCTCGCCGGTCGCGACGGACGCCGACTCCGCCGAACTCGTCTTGAGTGAGGCATCGCTGAATTGGGATTTGTGGCAACGCAGCGGCATCGCACACCGCTTCACCGCGGAAGACCAGCGTGCCACGACGATGCGGCTTCGTGCGACATGCATGGCGGAGCGGCCTCTCAACACCACCGCGTGCTTCCAACAAATGTTTGCTGAAACCGACGAAACGGGCGTCTTCCGTGTGGCGCTGGCGCTGGCCGAGGAGGTTCTGTAAAATTGGAAACGACGATGGGTGTGAGGACGCGCTGCGTCTTGTCACTTGTTGAGATGCTGCTCTGCCTGCCTGTATGTATGTGGGTGTGGGTTTCATGTGTTGTCTCGCTCTTTCGCTCTTGTCGTCTCTCCGCGTCTTGGCAGTAAACACTCAGCCGTCGCAGCGACCACC